CACCAAGGAGTGCAACTGCTGGATTGTATGGTAAGAGAAGGTTTCGTTTCCTGAGAAGGTCCCAAAATGTCTTCCAAACTGGCTGTACCACTTTGCATTCCCACCCGCAGCAGGTAAGAACTCCTTCTGCTCCACATCTTCGCCAGAACTTGGTGTTTTCGGTGCTTTGGATTTTGGCCATTCTAACAGGCGTGTAGTGACATCTCAATGCTGTTTGAATTTGAAATTCCTTAATTATGTACGATGTCAAGCTTTTTTTAATGTGCATATATGCCATCTGTATATTTTCCTTCTTTTCTTTTCTTTCTCTTTTTTTTTTTTGAGACTGTCTCGTTGTGTCACCCAAGCTGGAGTACAGTGGCATGATCACTGCAATATCCACCTCCCAGGTTCAAGCGATTCTCCTGCCTCAGCCTCCTGAGTAGCTGGGGCTACGGGTGCGTCCCACCATGCCCGGCTTATTTTTTGTTTTTAGTAGAGATGGGGTTTCCATGTTGGCCAGGATGGTCTCAATCTCTTAACCTTGTGATCCATCCGCCTCAGCCTCCCAAAGTGCTGATATTACAGGCATAAGCCACCGTGCCCGGCCTTTTTTTGTTTTTTTTGAGACAGAGTCTTGCTCTCTTGGCCAGGCTGGAGTGCAGTGGCACAGTCTCTGCTCACTGCAACCTCCACCTCCAGGTTCAAGTAATTCTCCTGCCTCAGCCTCCCAAGTAGCTGGGATTATAGGCACATGCCACCATGCCTGGCTTATTGTTTGTATTTTTTAGTAGAGATGGGGTTTTGCTGTGTTTTCCAGGATGGTCTCGAACTCCTGACCTCGTAATTCACCTGTCTTGGCCTCCCAAAGTGCTAGGATTACAGGCACGAGCCACCGTGCCCGGCCCCATCTGTGTATTTTCTTTGGTGAGGTGTCTGCTTAGATCTTTTGCCCTGTCCCCACTTTTTCTTTTCTTTTTCTTTTTTTTAAGACAGGGTTTCACCATGTTGGTCAGGCTGGTCTTGAACTCCCGACCTGAGGTGATTAGCCTGCGTTGGCCTCCAAAGTGCTTGGATTACAGGCGTGAGCCACTATGCCCGGCCAATTTTTGTATTTTTGTTAGAGATCAGGTTTCACCAGGTCTTGAACTCCTGACCTCAGGTGATCCACCTTTTTTTTTTTTTTTTTTTTTTTTTTTTGAGACAAGGTCTCACTCCATCACCCAGGCTGAGTGCAGTGATACAATCTCGGCTCATTACAACCTCCGCCTCCCAGGTTCAATCAATTCTCCTGCCTTAGCCTCCCAAGTAGCTGGGATTATAGGCATCCACCACTACGTACTGCTAATTTTGGTATTTTTTTGTAGAGACGGGGTTTCACCAGGTTGGCCAGGCTGGTCTCAAACTGCTGACCTCAGGTGATCCACCCGCCTCAGCCTTCCAAAGTGCTGTTTACCCATTTGCCCATTTTATTTTATTTTATTTTATTTATTTTTTGAGACGGAGTTTCGCTCCCGTTACCCAGGCTGGAGTGCAATGGTGCGATCTCGGCTCACCGCAACCTCCGCCTCCCGGGTTTCACCATGGGAGGCTTGAGCATTTACCCATTTTAAAATCAAGCTGTTCGTTTTTGTACTGTTGAGTTTTAATGGTTCTTTGTATATTTTCTTTCTTTGTAAATTTTATTTTATAGAGACGGGGTCTCACCATGTTGCCCAAGCCAGTCCTGAACTCCTGGGCTCAAGCAGTCCTGCGTTGGCCTCTCAGAGTCTGCGTACTTTGGCTAATGTGGAAGTCGTTAAACATGTCTTTTACAAATATTTCTCCTACTCCGTGACTTGCTTTCTCATTCTCTTAATGTCCTTTTGAAAGACTGGTGCATAAAGTAACTTGTAAAGGAAAAAATAGGTTCTCAGTAGACTTTTGGACGGCAATATTGTGTGCCGAAAGAAAACTGAGTGACTTATTTAAGACACTCAGTGAAGCCGAGTGCAGTGGCTCACGCCTGTAATCCCAACACTTTGGGAGGCCGAGGCGGGTGGATCACGAGGTCAAGAGATCGAGACTTTCCTGGTCAACATGGTGAAACCCCGTCTCTACTAAAAATACACAAAATTAGCTGGGCATGGTGGCGCGTGCCTGTAATCCCAGCTACTCAGGAGGGTGAGGCAGGAGAATTGCCTGAACCCAGGAGGTGGAGGTTGCGGTGAGCCGAGATCGCGCCATTGCACTCCAGCCTGGGTAACAAGAGCGAAACTCCGTCTTTAAAAAAAAAAAAAAAGACACTCAGTGAAAGAAAATGTGAATCAATTATCTTACAACCAGCAAGATACTTTATGACAAAAGGAATTAGACAAACTTTTATCAGCATATAAGCAATCAAAGAAGATTGGCTGGGCCTGGTGGCTCACACCTGTAATCCAGCACTTTGAGAAGGGTGGATTACCTGAGGTGAGAAGTTTAAGACCAGCCTGGCTAATGTGGTGAAACTGTCTCTACTAATACCGCAAAAATGTTCCAGGCCTAGTGGCGCACAGTTGTAATCCCAGCTACTTGGGAAGCTGAGGCAGGAGAATCACTTGAACCAGGGAGGCGGAGGTTGCAGTGAGCTGAGATCACGCCATTGCACTCCAGTGTGGGCAACAAGAGCAATATCAGTCTCAGAAAAAAGAAGATTGCTGCCATGAGCGCTTTCTTTTCTTTTTCCTTTCTCTCTTTTTTTTTTTTCTTTTCTGTTTTTGAGATGGAGTCTTGCTCTGTTGCCCAGGCTGGAGTGCAGTGGCACGATCGCGGCTCACTGCAATCTCAGCTTCCCAGGTTCAAGCGATTCTCCTGTCTCAGCCTCCCAGTTACAGGCACCTGCCACCACACTCGGATAATTTTTGTAGTTTTAGTAGCAACGGGGTTTCACTACATTAGCCAGGCTGGTCTCAAACTCCGGATCTCAGGTGATCCACCTGCCTGGGCTTCCCAAGGTGCTTCGATTACAGGTGTGAGCCACCGTGCCCGGCCGAGCCCTTTCTCATAATCCCAGCACTGTGGAGGGCTGAGGCAGGAGGATCCCTTGAGCACAGGAGTTCAAGATGAGCCTCGGCAACATATCGAGACCCCATTTCTGCAAATAATTTCTTTTTTTTTTTTTTTTGAGGTGGAGTCTGGCTCTGTCACTCAGGCTGGAGTGCGATGGTGCAATCTCGCCTCACTGCAACATCGGCCTCCCAGGTTCAAGTGATTCTCTGGCCTCAGCCCCTCAAGTAGCTGGGATTACAGGTGCCCACCACCACGCCCAGCTAATTTTTGTATTTCTTATAGAGACAGGATTTCACCATGTTGTCCAGGCTGGTCTCCAACTCCTGACCTCAGGTGATCTGCCTACCTCGGCGTCCCAGAGTGCTGGGATTACAGGCATGAGCCATCACCCCTGGCCTCTATAAATAATTTTTTTTTTAATTAGCTGGCTGGCCGGGCGAGGTGGCTCACGCCTGTAATCCTAGCACTTTGGGAGGCCGCGGTGGGTGGATCACCTGAGGTCAGGATTTCAAAACCAGCCTGGCCATCATGGTGAAACCCCATCTTATAAAAAAATAAAAATTAAAAAAAAATAAAAATTAGCCAGCTTTGCTGGGCGTGGTGGCTCACGCCTATAATCCCAGCACTTTGGGAGGCCGAGGCGGGTGGATCGTGAGGTCAAGAGATCGAGACCATCCTGGCTAACATGGTGAAACCCTGTCTCTACTAAATACAAAAAAAAAAAAAAAACAAACAAATTAGCCGGGCATGGTGGCACATGCCTGTAATCCCAGCTACTCAGGAGGCTGAGGCAGGAGAATCGTTTGAACCCAGGAGGCGGAGGTTGCAGTGAGCCAAGAATGCACCATTGCACTCCGGCCTGGGTAATAAGAGCGAAACTCCGTCTCAAAAAAAAAAAAAAAACATTAGCCAGCTATGGTGGTGTGCATCTGTGGTCTCAGCTGCCATAGAGGCTGAGGTGGGAGGATCACTCTAGCCCCGGATGTCAAGACTGCAGTCACTTACAATCATGCCACTGCACTCCAGCCGGGACAACAGAGCGAGGCCCTGTCTCAGAGAGAGAGAGAAAAAAAGGAATGTTGGTGAGTATTAAATACAGAGCTACTTGTGTAACTAAAATTAAGTGAAGGTTGAAAGACAGAACTATAGGTGTTGTGGGAGGGGTGTGGGGTGACTGTGACAGTCTCACTCTCTTGCCCAGGCTGGAGTGTAGCAGCACAATCTTGGCTCAGTGCAACCTCCACCTCCCAGGTTCAATCAATTCTCCTGCCTCAGCCTCCCAACTAGCTGAGACTACAGGCTGGAGTGCAGTGGCGTGATCTCAGCTCACCACTACCTCCTCCTCCCAGGTTAAAGCAATTCTTGTGCCTCAGCCTCCCCACTGGGATTACACGTGCACACCACCATGACCAGCTAATTTAGGTATTTTTAGTAGAGATATGGTTTCGCCATGTTGGCCAGGATGGTCTTGATGTCTTGACCTTGTGATCCACCTGCCTCGGCCTCCCAAAGTGCTGGGATTATGGGCATGAGACACCTCTCCTGGCCAGAGCTGTAGTTTTTGCTGGCTATCTGGTCTGACCATGCAGACATAGGATGCATGTTTTTTGTTTTTGTTTGTTTTTTGAGATGGAGTCTCGCTCTGTCTCCCAGGCTGGAGTGCAGTGGCGTCATCTCAGCTCACTGCAACCTCCGCCTCTTGGGTTCAGGCGATTCTCCTGCCTCAGCCTCCCGAGTAGCTGGGACTACAGGCACGCGCCACCATGCCCAGCTAATTTTTGTATTTTTAGTAGAGACGGGGTTTCACCATGTTGACCAGGATGGTCTTGATGTCTTGACCTTGTGATACGCCTGCCTCGGCCTCCCCAAGTGCTGGGATTACAGGTGTGAGCCACCGCGCCGGGCTGGTTTATTTTTAAATAGGAGGTGAGGCTGTTGGGGGAATGAGGAGAACAAATGCCAAAACAAGTTAATCGTATAGTTGACGTTAGTATGAGGACTGTTTTGGTTTTATTTTATTTTATTTTTTAGAGAGGGGGTTTCAGCACCATGTTGACCAGATGGTCTCGATCTTCTGACCTCGTGATCCGCCTGCCTCGGCCTCCCAAAGTGCTTGGATTACAGGTGTGAGCCACCGCGCCCGGCCTCTGTTTTGGTTTTCACTGAAACTGTGTGTGACATGGGAAAACATAAATGAAAAATAATAAAATTGCTAATTCTATTTAAAGATTGATGCATGAGAGATGTACATGGTTTAACACCATGTGATAATTTCATACATTTATGTAATTTGTAAAGATACATCAGTGTACTCTTTTTTTTTTTCTTTAGACGGAGTCTCGCTCTGCCACCCAGGATGGAGTGCAGTGGTGCCATGTTGGCTCCCTGCAACCTCCACCTCCTGGGTTCAAGTGATTCTTCTGCCTCAGCCTCCAGCCACTCCAGCCTGGGCGACAGAGCCGGACATCTCTCTTAGTCCCAGTCTAGGGGGAAAGCATTCAGTCTTGTACTATTAAGAATACTGTTAGCGGCCAGGCACAGTGGCTCACGCCTGTAATCCCAGCACTTTGGGAGGCCGAGGCGGGTGGATTATGAGGTGAGGAGTTCAAGACCAGCCTGGCCAACATGGTAAAACCCCATCTGTACTAAAAATACAAAAACTAGCCAGGCGTGGTAGCAGGTGCCTGTAATCCCAACTATACAGGAGGCTGAGGCAGAGAATTGCTTGAACCAGGGAGGGAGGTTGCAGTGAGCTGAGATTGCGTCACTGCACTCCAGCTTGGGAGACAGAGCAAGACTCTGTCTCAAAAAAAAAAAAAAAAAAAAAAAAAAAAAGAGTACTGTTAGCTGTGGAGTTTTCTGTCTTGTTTTGTTGCGTTTGTTTTGATGCTGTTGTTTTGAGACAGAGGCTTGCTCTGTCGCCCAGGCAGGAGTGCAGCATCGCGATCATGGCTCACTGCAGCCTCCTCTTCCTGGGCTTCTCGGCCTCCCAAGCAGCTGGGACAGCAGGCATGTGTCACCACACCCAGCTATTTATTTTTTTAATGTATTACTTACTGGTGAGACGCGGTCTTGCCATGTTGCCCAGGCTGCTCTGGAACTCGTGGCTTCAAGCAGCCATTCTTCCTTGGCTTCCCAAAGTGCTGGGATTGCAGGTGGGAGCCACTGCTCCCTTCCTGGCTGGAGATTTTTATTTTATTTTTCTATTTATTTATTTATGTGAGATGGAGTTTCACTGTTGTTGCCCAGGCTGGAGTGCAATAGCACGATCTTGGTTCACTGCAAACTCTGCCTCCCAGGTTCAAGTGATTCTCCTGCCTCAGCCTCCCAAGTAGCTGGGATTACAGACGTGTGCCACCAGGTCTGGCTAATTTTTGTATTTTTGGTAGAGATGGGGTTTCCCCCTGTTGGCCAGGCTGGTCTCAAACTCTTGGCCTCAAGTGATCCGCCCGCCTCTGCCTCCCAAAGTGCTGGGATTACACCGCACCAGGCCCAGCGTATGCTGTTTCTCTCCCTTCATCCCTTCCTTACCAGCGTGGTGCAGAGCCAGAGGGCGTCCTGCCTGCCAGACCACAGAGAGGGAGCACTGCCCACTGCACGGCTGCCCGCTCTGGTCTTGGGCTGAGCCACGGCTGAATTCCTGCGATTTGGAATGACAGGGACAGACGGGTAGAGATTCGCAAACCAGTTGTGGGTCGGGGGAGGAGACTACACCATCTTGCTCTGATGCTGCGGGCTTGTTGTCATGGAAACCAAAGCCACTCTCTTTAGGAAGGACCCATTAAGGTGCAGGAAATAATCAAGGCTCTCTCTGGCGGCTCCCCACCCTCCCTGGTGGGAGACAATCACCGTCTGAGCCCTTGGGTGTTGCAGTGTTAAGTTCTGCCCTCCTCCCTCACTTGCCTCCCTGCAGGAAACGTCTCTGAAACAAGCACAAGGGAGCCAACCAGGTGTCAGAGAGGACCCTCAAGGTTTCTGAACTGTCCCCTGCCCAAACCTGAGGCTTCAGTTCCAGCTCTAGCTGGGGATGTTTTACTGGGTGACCACCGCAAGCTCCTGGCTGCGTCTTCGCATCCTCACCTGCGAAAATGACAGAGATACATTGTAATTGCCACATTGTCTCTGAATACCAAACTATTAGAGGGATAGAAGGTAGGGATTCAACTTGCAGACTGCGGATCAGACTGCCTGGATTGGGTGGGGTGCAGTGGCTCATGCCCATAATCCCAACCCTTTGGGAAGCTGAGGCAGGTGTATCACTTGAGGTCAGGAGTTCAAGACCAGCCTGCTCAACGTGGTGAAACACCATCTCTACTAAAAATACAGAAATGAGCAAGGCATGTGGTGGGTGCCTGTAATCCCAGCTACTTGGGAGACCGAGGCAGAGAATGGCTTGAACCCGGGAGGCAGAGGGTGCAGTGAGCCGAGATCGTACCACTGCACTCCACCCTGGGTGACAGAGTCGGACTTTGTCTTAAAAATAATAATAATTGTACATTGTCTCTCTGAAAACCAAACTGTTAAAGGGATGGAAGGTAGGGATTCAGTTTGCAGACCCTAGATGGGATTCAGTGTGCAGACCCTAGATGGGATTCAGTTTGCAGACCCTAGATGAGACTGCCTGGATTGAAATCCTGGCTAAGCCACCAGCAGCTGTGCAACCTCAAGCAACTTGCTTGACCTCTCTGGGCCTCAGTTTCCTCTCCTGCCAAATGGGGTGCAATAAGACTACCAACCTTGCAGGAGATCATGTGTCTAAAGCCATCAGTGTCTGGATAAGGAAAATGTGGTATATCCATGTAATGGAATATAACTCAGCCATGAAAAGGAATGCTACTCTGACACAGGCTACAAGAACCTTGAGGACGTCAGGCTCAGTGAGAGAAGTTAGATGCAAAAGGTCGCACAATGTGTGATCCCATTTCTTTTTTTTTTTTTGAGACGGAGTTTCGCTCTTGTTACCCAGGCTGGAGTGCAATGGTGCGATCTCGACTCACCGCAACTTCCGCCTCCTGGGTTCAGGCAATTCTCCTGCCTCAGCCTCCTGAGTAGCTGGGACTACAGGAACGCACCACCATGCCCAGCTAATTTTTTGTATTTTTAGTAGAGACGGGGTTTCATCATGTTGACCAGGATGGTCTCGATCTCTTGACCTCGTGATCCACCCGCCTCGGCCTCCCAAAGTGCTGGGATTACAGGCTTGAGCCACTGCGCCCGGCTGTGTGATCCCATTTCTATGACATGTCGGAATAGGCCAATCCAGAGAGAAAGAAATCAGATAAATGGTTACCAGGGCCTGGGGTATGGGGAGAAGAACGTTTTTTTTTTTGAAATGAAGTCTCACTCTGTTGCTCAGGCCAGGGTGCAGAGGCACGATCTCAGCTCACTGCAACCTCTGCCTTCCTGGTTCGAACAATCCTCCCACCTCAGCCTCCCAAGTAGCTGAGGCATGGTATGTGCCACCGTGCCCAGCTAATTTTTGTATTTTTAGGAGATCTGGGGTTTTGCTACGTTGGCCAGGCTGGTCTCAAACTCCTGATCTCAGGTGATCCACCCACCTTGGCCTCCCAAAGTGCTGGGATTACAGGCCTGAGCCACCATGCCCAACCTCCTCTTTCTCTTTTAGAGAGGGGAGTCTTACTTACCAGGTTGCCCACACTGGTCTCAAACTCCTGACCTCGAGCCATCCACCCACATCAGCCTCCCAAGTAACTAGGATGGCAGGATATGAGGCATTACACCTGGCTAACCTGTGGATTCTGACACTTAACTCCAGGTGATGAAAATCACTATTTAATTGCTCTGTGGCCAGGGTAGGAGAAAATTGCTCAAACATTTTTTTCCTTTTCTTTTCTTTTTTTTTTTTTTGTGAGACAGAGTCTTGATCTGTCACCCAGCCTGGAGTGCAGTGGCGCGATCTCGGCTCACTGCAACCTCCACCTCCTGGGTTCAAGCAATTCTCCTGCCTCAGCCTCCCAGAGTAGCTGGGATTACAGGCACGCACCACCATGCCCGGCTAATTTTTAGTATTTTTAGTAGAGACGGGGTTTCACCATGTTGACCAGGGTGGTCTCGATCTCCTGATGTCATAATCTGCCTGCCTTGGCCTCCCAAAGTGCTGGGATTACAGGGGTGAGCCATTGTGCCAGCCTTTTTTTTTTTTCTTGAGATGTGGTCTCACTCTGTCACCCAGGCTGGAGTGCAGAGGCTCGATCTCGGCTCACTGCAACCTCTGCCTCCCAAGCTCAGGTGATCCTCTCACGTCAGCCTCCTGAGAAGCTGGGACTACAGGCTCGTGACACCATGTTTGGCAGTTTTTTTCTTTGTTTGTTTTGTATTTTTGGTAGAGATGGGGTTTCACCATGTTGGCCAAGCTGGTTCCAAACTCCTGAGCTCAAGCAATCCGCCCGCCTCAGCCTCCCAAAGTGCTGGGATTACAGGCATGAGCCACTGCACCCAGCCCCTCTCACATTATTTTTAAAGAGGGTCTTGCTCTGTTGCTCAGGCTGGAGTCTAGTGGGGCAATCGTAGCTCACTGCAGCCTTCAACTCCTGTGCTCGAGCAATTCTCCCAAGTAACTGTGACTCCAGTGTGCATCGCTGCACCCAGCTGTCACTCTTTTCCAACAAGACAACGGCACGAAATGAAGCACAATGTGTTCTTATGTCGAGTTAACCAGCCATAACAGCAAAGCTCAGGAGGGCAGGCACGGAAACTCATTCACCTTTTTCAGTTTCTAAAGCCACTGAGCAGGCAGCTGCAAGCTGGGTCCTTGGGGGTGGCTAGGAGAGGGTGGTCAATTGGTTGGACCTCTGTGGGTGATGGATCATCTTGACAGGAGTGTGTGGTGTGGCCTCCAGGATTTTGTGTTTGATGAAGGCGATAGACTCAGTCAGAAGCATTTATACCCAAAGTCAGTACTGGATGCCAGCACTGAGCTGGGGATGTGTGTGGGCAGGAGCGGGGCACAAAGATGAAACCGCCAGAATAAGACTCAGGACTCCCAGGAGTCTTTGAAGAGAGGGAGTAAAAGGTTAGTGTGGCTTTAATGAGAATCATAAGGGCCAGGCTCAGTGGCTCACGCCTGTAATCCCATCACTTTGGGAAGCCGAGGTGGGCAGATCACTTGAGGTCAGGAGTTCAAGATGAACTGTGCCAACTTGGTGAGACCTTCCCCATGTCTACTAGAAATACAAAAACCAGCTGGGCTTGGTGGTGCATGCCTGTAATCCCAAGTAACTGTGATTACAGTATGCACCACTGCACCCAGCTGTCATTTTTTTTCAAATAAGAGAGAGGTACAAAAGGAAGTATAACGTACTTCATTTCAAGGAGAATCACTCGAAACCAGGAGGTGGAGGTTGCAGTGAACGGAGATTGCGCCAGTGCACTCTAGCCTAGGCAACCGAGAGAGATGGAAAAAGATTAAGCCGGGTGTGGTGGCTCATGCCTGCAATCCCAGCACCTTGGGAGGCCAAGGCTGGTGGATCACTTGAGGTGAGGAGTTCGAGACCAGCCTGGCCAACATGATGAAGCTCCGTCTCTACTAAAAGTGTAAAAATTAGCCGGGTGTGGTGGCACACACCTGTAGTCCCATGCAAGTGATCCACCTGCCTTGGCCTCCCAAAGTGCTGGGATTGCAGGCATGAGCCACTGTGCCCAGCCAAATGTTTGAATGTTACTCTGCAGACAGTCGGCCTCTTGGAAGGGTTACAGGCAGGAGTGGGACCTGGTCAGATGTGTGTTCTGGAAAGATCCCTCGCTGTGTGTAGAGAATGAACTGGCTGCACATGTGTGTGGGCTGGAAGGGGAGACAAGAGATGAGGACGTGCAGGGAGGCAGAGGGCTGGAGGAGAGAGGATGGATTTGAGCACAGTGACTTGCCTTGGGGACCATGGGGACTGGACGAGGAGGGGAGGAGCCTGGGTATGTAGGGGAACTATCACATTCCTGCGCATATTGGGGAGGAAGCTGGGGGCTGGGAAGATTGAGTGTTCACTTTGAAATGATTAATTTGGGGTGATTGGGAGACACCCATAGCAGAATATCCTCCTTCACTGAGGCCCCCAAAAGGCAGTATCTGTGTGTCTTTTCCTTTCTGAAAGCCTTTCCATTCCCAGGGGGCAACTCTAAATATACCAGAAAACCTCGCACAATTAGACCTCGCCCAGACATTGAACCTCCCTCTGCTCAGCCCATTCATAAAGTGTCTCTGGCGTTCAGGTGTCTTCTAATCTCATTTTCTCTGCTTGTTAATGGACCCACTGAGGCAGTCCTCCTGGGAGAGAGAGAAAGATTTCATTTGTCTGGGGTGGAGGAGGGAGATGGGGGGGGTTGCCAAAAAGCTAATGAGGAATCAATGCCTTGTAATTGCTAATTAAATGAGCCTGGCTCTCTCCTGGGGCTGTGAGTTGGCTGCCCAACCCTTAAGTGTCCACAAATTTAATTATGCTTCCCCAATAAACACCTGCAGTAACCGCTGCCCTCCGGTATCTCTCTGGGGGAGACCTAGAAGAAGGATCTTGCCGTGTGTGCCGAGGCCATCCAGTCATTTATAGATTGATGTATTGGTTTATTCTTTGGTGGCTTTATTGATTCAACGCATGCTTATTGTATGCCTGTGGTGTGCTGGGCCCTGGACTGGGCACTGGGGATGTAGCCGTCAAAATACTAACATTGTTTCTGCCCTCATGGAGCTCACGGTGTAACAGGGAGACAAATAGACATGTCACTAGATAACTTGAAAATAATTGGACTGTGTGCTGGAGACACAATATTCCAGGTCTCCGAGAATGTCAATACGGACTTCACATGGGAAATGGCGAGGCAGTCAGGATCGTTTCCCTTGACGAAATGGAGCTTGCAGAAGAAGACAGGCCCAGTTGCAGGGGGTCTCTGGGTGGAGGTGGGGGAGTGCATTCCGAGCTGCAGGAACAACAAAGCCAAAAACCGTGAGGCTGGAGAACAGGCGCCATGTGGAGTTTGTGACTTGATTATGGTGTTGTAGACAATTGGAAGTGAGTCTTTTTAAAATGTATTTATTTTTTATTGACATGACGTCTCTCTGTGTTGCCCAGGCTAGTCTCGAACTCCTGAGTTCAAGCTACCCTCCAACCTTGACATCCCAAAGTGCTGGGGTTACAAATGTGAGCCACCACACCTGGCCAACAGGGTGAGCCTTCATGATGCCGTAAGTCACAAATTCACGTTTGTCCTATCATTGGCCCATGGCACTGATGGGTAGCAGACAGGAAAAGAATCTTTTCTGAAACGTTTTTTTTAAGACAGGGTCTTGTTCTGCTGCCCAGTCTGGAGTGCAGCAGTGCAGTCACGGCTCACTGCAGCCTTGAATTCCCAGGCTCAAGTGTTCCTCCCACCTCCCAAGTTAGTTGGGACGACAGGCATGTGTCACCTCACCCAGCTAATTTTAAAAAGGTTTTTTTTTTTTTCTTGTAGAGATGAGGGCTCACTATATTGCCCAGGCTGGTCTCAAACTCCTGTGCTCAAGCAATCCTCCCATCTCATCCTCCCAAAATGTTAGGATTACAGGTGTGAGCACCTAGCTCACTTCTGGAACGTTTACTGAAAAGTACCCTTAGGCTGGGTGTGGTGGTTCACACCCGTAATCCTGGGACTTTCAGAGGCTGAGGCAGGAGACCACGTCTCTAAAATAAATAAATAAATACATTTTTTGAGATAGAATCTCACTTTGCCACCCAGGCTGGAGTGCAGTGGTGCAATCCTGGCTCCTGCAGCCTCTGCCTCCTGGGTCCAAGGGATTCTTATGCCTCAGCCTCCTGAGTAGCTGGGACCACAACGCCCAGCTAATTTTTGTATTTTTAGGAGAAATGGAGTTTCACCACATTGTCCAGGCTGGTTTGGAACCCCTGGCCTCAAGTGATCCACCTGCCTCCACCTCCCAAAGTGCTGGGATTACAGATATGAGCCATCGCACTATGCCAAAAAAAAAAAAATGTTTTTTAATAAAGTACCCTGAGAACCTTGGTCCAGGGAGGGTTTTAATGCCATTCCCTCACTAATTCCCCCAGGAAAGCGCCGTGAGGTGGTTCGAGGTCTTGGGTTTAGAGTCAGATATTTTCTATCTCCAGGCTTGTGGGGGTGTATGAGTGACGCATGATCAACAACATACATGGTGCATGGCTGTATGGGCACAGGATGTATGTCCTTGTTTGCTTCCCTCCCCTGCTCATGTCTGTATCCCCCGGAGTGAGCCAGCCCACCCTCTGAGTGAAAGCGATCCCCCCCTTCAACCTCCCTGGTTTTCCTCCATTGGTCAGCTCATTTTAGGCGAAGGTCGATGGGAGTCTGCGCTATGAGGCCGGCTGTGACTTGTTGTCATAGTACATCAGAACAACAAAATCACTAGTCTTCCACACAGCACTAGACCATAGCCACTCTAATCATCTTCGCCACCCTCTGCCCCATATCTGAGACCCCTGCCCAGCTCCTCTTCCTCACCTGAGCCAAGCTGTGACATGTGGGCTTCCTGCCTCTGTGCTGCCTCCCTGTTTTCCGTTCCCGGTTCTCCTGGAGAGAGGCAGGGTCTGATCTCCAAGGGCCCACCTCCCACCTAGGCACAACAGAAACATTGGATTTGGAGTTGGACTAATGGGATTGACTTACAGCTTCACTTTGGGCTGAGAGCCCCTGGGTTGGTTATTTTTCCGCCTCTCTCCGGGCTTTGGCTTCCCCAAGTCATGTGGGTATTACTATACCCACCCATATCCTAGGGTTGAAGATGGCATGATATGATGTATGTAAAACGCTCGGCACAAGGTTTCTCACGGAAGTCTGGAAGGGAGACCACAATGTCATCTTGGCAGGCACCTCTTCCCCCAGCAGGGCATTTTACCTGTTGAAAATTGCAGACTTGGGCCAAGCGGGGTGATTCACGCCTGTAATCTCAGCACTTTGGGAGGCCGAGGCGAGCGAATCACGAGGTCAAGAGTTCGAGATCAGCTTGGCCAACATGGTGAAACCCATCTCTACTAAACATACAAAAATTAGCTGGGTGTGATGGCGCATGCCTGTTATCCCAGCTACTCGAGAGGTTGAGGCAGGGGAATCGCTTGAATCAGGGAGGCGCAGGTTGCAGTGAGCCGAGATCGCACCACTGCATTCCAGCCTGGGCGACAGAGCAAGACTCTTGTCTCAAAAAAAAAAAATTACAGACTTCTATGTGGACTTATCTGGAAAATACTTTGTTTAAAAATCCATTACATGAGGGGCGAGTCTCCAGAAATGCCAGGCACCTCAGACCACCCTCTCTCGTCCTCCTCCCCCAAAATCAGGGTCCAAGGGCTCTCCGGTTACCTGGAGGAGCTGTCCAGGGTCCTGGCGCCGAAACGGAGCCCGCTGGGAGCTGTCCTGAGCCCCGGTGCTGAAACAGGTTGCTGTTTTCTTCTCAGACCGCCCCCCCGAGAGGCACTGTCCCGAGACTTGGTGCTGAAATAAATCGCATTCTCCTCCCTCGGTCGGCGGAGAGCTGTCCCTGGTTCTGAAGAAAACTTGATTTTCCTCTCTCTCTTTCCCGGTTCCCCCACCCCTCTTCGTTCTCGGTTCCTTCGATCCTTGGGAAACCCCACCCCCACTCAATTTATTTCCCCTCCTGGCTTCTTCCTGGGGAGCTTCAGAATCGCAATGGGGAGACACGGAGGGGTCGCAATTAGCACTGATGTCTGCTCCTCACCCTGTAACACATCCCCAGAACTTACCTCCCAAGCAGTCAACCTCGCTGGTCTCTGCTTTCCAGACCGTCCAACTTTGCTATGTCTGTCCCTTTCTGCGAAAATATCTATGTGCCGACCTGCAAACCAGCCTCCTTCCCGGGATCCCACGTCCCTCAGACCACCCCTCTTCCCACGCAGCTGTGGGCCTCCCCCTCTGTGTGCCTCACCTGCTTCCAGTCTTCTTGGCAGATGCAGGTGTCCGGTGGCTGCTGAGGCGGGGACCTGCTCTTTTATGGGCTTTGGGGAAGGCGGGGTGCCAGGAATCCTAGGAGGGGCTTCCCCAACCGGCCAATGGGATTCCACCTCAGAACGAAGCTCCAAAGATTACCTCATAGGTTGTGGCCCACGCTTCAGAATAAAAGTCTGGCATCTGCCCAAAAACTGGGCTAGGGGATATTTTTGGATGGGGACGGAGCACTCATTGTGGACCACGGAGTCTCACCACTAGCCCCAATCCCCTCCTGGGTTCCTGAGCTCCAAGTTGGTTCAGGTGTCCGGACTGGTACCTGTTTGTTCTCATTCCCAGTTTTTGCTCTTGCTGCTGGTTCAAAGCTGGTTGGGCCAGGTGCGGTGGCTCATGCCTGTAATCCCAGCACTTTGGGAGGCTGAGGTGGGTGGATCGCCTGAGGTCAGGAGTTCGAGACCAGTCTGACCAATGTGGTGAAACCCCATCTCTTGAAAGAAAGAAAAGAAAGAAAAGAAAAGAAAAGAAAAGAAAAGAAAAGAAAAGGCTGGTAAACTGTTCTGGGGCAAAATAAGGGATGTAGAGAATATTGAAGTCCAGTTTCACCTAGGGCAACTGACATCGGTGAAAATGGAGGGCTCACAAGACTCTCGGGCAGAAGTGGGACTTAAGCCTGAAGATTTTGATTCCTTAACTCAAAACCCAAATTATAAAATTCTGCTTTTTGTAGTGCTATACTGGGCAGGCTCTGAACCAAAAAAAAAAAGAAACTGGGGTTCAAATTCAGATTTTTATTCTCCTTCCTTTGGGGCATTGGGCACAGTTGTGCCTCAGTTTCCTCAACTGTGAAGTGGTGATAGTAGAGGATTTGATGAGGAAATAATGAAATGGTATAGATTGCATCTTGGAAATAATCAGAGCAGGGGCTAGTTTTGCACTTGCCTCAGGTGCAAAATTTAAAGGACACCAAAAAAATTGAAGAATCAAAATAAATAATATCTCAGGCCAGGTGCAATGGCTCATGCCTGTAATCCCAGCACTTTGGGAGGCCAAGGTGGGAGGATCACTTGAGGCCAGGAGTTCAAGACCAGCCTGGGCAATGTAGTGAGACCCTGTTTTTGAGAGAGAGAGAGAGAGAGAGGAGAGGGAGAGAGAGAGAGAGAGGGAGAGAGGGAGCGGGGGGGAGAGAGAGAGAGAGAGAGAGAGAGAGAGCGCCACCTGTGGTCCCAGCTACTTGGGAGGCAGAGGTGAGAGGATCACTTGAGCCCAGGAGGTCAAGGCTGCAGTGAGTTGTGACTGCACCACTGCACTCAAGCCTGAGTGACAGAGCAAGACCGTGTCTCAAAAAAAAAAAAAAAATCCATGCAATGTTTTAAGAAATCTAAATGTATGCCCAAATCCACAATGAACAAAATATCAAAAATTTAAATAAAGACAGAACCAGCCTTTCTGACTTTTCCTTTTACCTGAAATCCCAATATGGCTGAGCACGGCACTAGCAATCGTGTCTGCATATGGTAGGTTTTCTAATAAAGCAGCTGTTGTTCTTTCCTGAGCTATTCCACCCATTTATTTGCTCAACAAACTTTTGTTTTGCTAAGCACTGGAGACAGACGAATTCAGCAACCAACCTTGCCTTTAGGGAGGGTAAAGACAAGAAAACTCTACTGACATGTGGGAATGGGCATTGGGCAGAAGGAACAGGTAGTATAAGGGCCCTGGTGGGTGAGCAAGGGTAGAGGGGACAGGTGGGATATAAATCAGGGACATCTGGACAGGACCTGCTTATTCAGGCCAGGACCAAAGTGCAGTTCCTCAGGTTGCACAGGAAAACCTGCCACCCTTTCTCTCTGCCCCTCCCTAAGCTTTTACTCTGTGCCAGGCTCAGCATCGAACATTCTACCTGCTGAGTGTTCTGAAGGCCTCAGGGCAGTCCCATAAGATAGATTCCAGCCAGGCACAGTGGCTCACTGAGGCTGGACTACAGTGGTGTGATCTGGACTCACTGCAACCTCCACCTCCTGGGTTCAGAAGATTCTTCTGCCTCAGCCTCCGAGTAGCTGAGATTACAGGCACCCACTACCATGCCTGGCTAATTTTTGTATTTTTAGTAAAGATGGGATTTTACTAGTTGGCCAGGCTGGTCTCAAACTCCTGACCTCAAGCAATCTGCCCACCTCAGCCTCCCAAAGTGCTGGGATTATAGGTGTGAGCCACCATGCCCAGCCTGGCTTCTTTCCCTCAGCAGAATACACTAGAGAGCGATTCATGCTATTGCGTGAACACGGAGTTAGTTCCTTTACTTATTTATTTACTTTTGAGATGGAGTCTCGCTCTGTCACCCAGGCTGGAGTGCAGTGGCACGAACTCGGCTCACTGCAACCTCCGCCTCCTGAGTTCAAGTGATTCTCCTGCCTCAGCCTCCTGAGTAGCTGGAACTACAGGTACGTGCCACCACGTCTGGCTACTTTTTGCATTTTTAGTACAGACAGGGTTTCTCCATGTTGGCCAGGCTGGTCTCCAGCTCCTGACCTCTTGATCTGCCTGTCTCAGCCTCCCAAAGTACTGGGATTCCAGGTGTGAGCCACCGCGCCCACCCTCCTTTTTATTATTGAGTAGTATTCCATCATGTGGATGAGCTGTGGGCTGTTTACCCATTCATCAGTCCAAGGACATTAGGTTCAGGAACATCTTCTGTGTTTGGATATTATTAAGAAAAAAGCTGCTATAAATAGTTACATGGGCTGGGGGTGGTGGCTCACGCCTGTAATCCAGCACTTTGGGAAGTCGAGGCAGGCGGATCATGAGGTTAGGAGTTCAGGACCAGCCTGGCCAATATAGTGAAACCCTGTCTCAACTAAAAATACAAAAATTAGCTGGGTGTGGAGGCAGGTACCTGTAGTCCCAGCTACTCCAGAGGCTGAGGCAGAAGAACTGCTTGAACCAAGGAGAAGGAGTTTGCAGTAAGCAGAGAAGGCACCACTGCACTCCAGCCTGGGCAACAAGCAAGACTCGGTCTCAATAAATAAATAAATAAATAAAATATTTACATGCAGGCTTTCCTGTGGGCAATAAATTTTCACATCTCTATGGTAAATCCCTAGGAGTGCGATGGCTGGGTCATATGCGAAGTATATATTTAACTTTATAAGAAACTGTCAAACTTTTCCCAGAGCAATTGTATCATTTTGCAACCCCACAAGCAGTGGATAAGGGTTCTAGCTGCTTCATGACCTTATCAGCTAGCTGTTGGTATTATTGTTGGTGTTTTTTTTTTTTTTTTTTTTTTGAGATGGAGTTTCGCTCTTGTTACCCAGGCTGGTGTGCAATGGCGCGATCTCGGCTCACCGCAACCTCCGCCTCCTGGGTTCAGGCAATTCTCCTGCCTCAGCCTCCCGAGTAGCTGGTATTACAGGCACGCGCCACCGTGCCCAGCTAATTTTTTGTATTTTTAGTAGAGACAGGGTTTCACCATGTTGACCAGGATGGTCTCGATCTTTTGACCTTGTGATCCACCTGCCTCGGCCTCCCAAAGTGCTGGGATTACAGGCGTGAGCCACCGCGCCCGGCTGTTTGGTTTTGGTTTTAACTAATTAATAAGTGCGTAGCATCTTTTATCCCTCTGTCTCTCAATATATAGATATAGCTACAGCTGTAGATATAGATATACATATAGATATAGATTTTTTTTTTTTTGAGATGGAGTCTCACTCTGTCTCCAGGCTGAAGTGCAGTGGCACAACCTTGGTTCACTGCTACCTCCACCTCCTGGGCTCCAATGATTCTCCTGCCTCAGCCTCCTGTGTAGCTGGAATTACAGGCGTGCACCACCATGGCCAGCTAATTTTTGTATTTTTGGTAGAGATACGGTTTCACCATCTTGGCCAAGATGGTCTGGACCTGTTGACCTCGTGATCCACCTGCCTCAGCCTCCCAAAGTTCGGGGATTACAGACGTGAGCCATTGAGCCCAGCCTACCTCTTTTCTTGTTTGTTTTTGAGGCAGGGTCTCGCTGTCACATAGGCTGGAATGCAGTGGCGTGATCATGGTTTGCTGTAGCCTCAACCTTCTGAGTTCAAGTGATCCCCCCACCTCAGCCTCCGAAGTGCTGGGATTACAGGCGTGAGTCACCATACCCAGCCATCTTTTATTTCTTTTTATGTATTTATTTTTAAATTTATTTATTTATTTATTTATTTATTTATTTTTGAGACAGAGTTTCACTCTGTCACCAAGGCTGGAGTGTAGTGGCGTGACCTTGGCTCACTGCAACCTGCATCTCCCGGGGTTCAAGAGATTCTCCTGCCTCAGCCTCCCAAGTAGCTGGGATTACAGGCATATGTCACCATGCCTGGCTAATTTTTGTATTTTTAGTAGAGAGGGGGTTTCACCACGTTGGCCAGGCTGGTCTTAAACTCCTGACCTCAAGTGATCCTCCTGCTTTGGCCTCCCAAAGTGTTGGGATTACAGGCATGAGCCACCGCGCCCGGCCATAGCTGACGTTTGTATAACTTTGTGTGCACTGGACCTTGCTCACTCAGGCTGTGCTCTTGTCCATTCACTGGGAATCTAAGCTCCATAGAGAGACCTCTTTGTTCCATTTTTCTCCTCTCTGGGTCTCTGTGTTCTGAACATTTGCTTGTGTCCCAGGAGACAGACAGGTGTGGGTGGGCAGAGGCGAACGAATCTCTTTATAAAATGTCCCCACGACTCCAGTTAGGAACAGTAGCTAATTATCTCTGGGAATAAGAAGCCAACAATGAGAATTAATTAATACCTCATCAGGGTAGAAAAGTCTAGAAATAAGGGTCTGGGCGATTCCCCCTCCCTGTGCGTGCTTGGGCACACACACACACACACACACACACACACACAGGCAGCCCCTTCCTCAGCCGTTACTATAGAGACCTCTTTCCTGCCACCCTCATGAGCATTTACAAATCAAGACCGCACAGATGGTGACCTCGGCGGGTCTGTTGTTCTTTCTTCTAAGGACAATTTCTGGAGCCCTGAGGATTAAGGAAACAGGGCTACTCTGGACAACATCTGCCTGGGGCCCCGAAACCTGACCCCACAGCCCGGGCAAGGGGAGATTAGCGAAGGCGTTTACCCAGAAGAGGCAGAGCACGAAAACAGGACCACACGCAGGTCACCCTCCCCACCTGAGGCCACCAGGGAATTTCTAATAAAGGTCTCAGTTCCGGCTCCCTGGCACATGAATGCTTCAGACGCAGCGGGAGAGGAGAGAATCTTGCAATGTAGGTCCTAGAACTACTGCAGTGTTACGAACCAGGGTTTACTAAGCATCTATTTTGTGCCGAGCACTTTACGGGTGATGATGATGGCCCAATGTTGGTGCTCCCTGTCTGTCATTCACTATGTGCTAAGCGCTTTATACACCGTAGAGGGTCAGGTTGTGCCCATTTTAATAGACACTCTATTTCCCAATGCCTGAAATTCATTGAATGACTGAATGATCTAATGTACTCCTCGAACCTGCCCTACAGCACAGTGACTGAATCCCACTGTTCTGATGTGGAAACTGAGGCCCAGAGAGGTGGAGACATCATCCCCAGGGACACCCAGCAAGCAGGGGGCAGAGACGGGCTCTGAAGGGTGGTCTTCCTATGACAAAACCCCCCTACTTTTTAATTCCTTGAGGCCCAGAGAGCTCAAGCAGCAAGTCAGAGGCCCAGCAAGGACTAGAATCCAACTTTCCTATTCCCCTCTTTGATGTATTTTTTTCTTGCCTTGCCATTCTTTCTGGCAGCCCTAACATGAAGCGCAATGTCCTGAAAATATTGAGCCCCAATAAATATTTGTCAGTGTACTATGAATACCAGATTTGGACCTTCCGGAACCTTCTGGAACCTTTCCCAGGTTATCTGTTTCAACTCACACCCTCATCCTCCAGGGAGAAAGATGGGGAACAGGGAAGAAGACAGAAGTCGGATTGCTAGCCCAGTGGTCATACTGAAAGACAGAGGCTGGCTGGGGCTAGGCCGGGTGTTCCCCTGCCTGCCGTCTTGCTGCTCCCCTCAAAGGCTCTTCTCTTGGTACCTGCCTGTTCTCAAAAGTGATTTTTCTCGGCCGGAAGTGGTGGCTCACACCTGTAATCCAAGCACTTTGGAGGCCAAGGCCGGCAGATCACCTGAAGTCGGGAGTTCAAGACCAGCCTGACCAACATGGTGAAACCTTGTCTTAAAAAAAAAAAAAAAGGCGATTTTCTAGCTTTCTGTTGGTTCTGTGACTGCTATGACTTCCTTCCAATCAGTCCCCAGTCCATTTAAATGATAACGCCGGTTGCCATTTACTGAAAATCTAGTAGGTGCCGGCTCTCATTTTCATCTCATCCTCACCTTAACTTCCAAAGCTTGGTGCTTATTAGGGCCATTTCCCGGGGGCAGAAGGAGGCACAGAGAGTTGAGACGCTTGCCCAAGCTCACGCAGCAGAGAAACAGAGAGAGCTGCCTTTTGGGACCAGAGTCTCCACTTTTAGCCAAATTCTGTGGTTGGTACCTGAGTCTGAAGTGGGACCAGAACCCAGTTTCCAAAAGGTGGCTCTTGGGTGGCAGAGTCAAGACAGGCTTCCTCCCCAGCCCCGAGTCCTGGGAGGCCCGCGCATGAAAGCTGCGTTCCCCCTTCTTAGCTGTCAGAGGCTCCTGAGAAACACGCATGAACAAAATTCTGGGCTGGGCATGGTGGATCACACCTGTAACCCCAGCACTCTGGGAGGCCAGGACTGGAGGATCACTTGAGGCCAGAAGTTTCAGACCAGCCAGGGCAACATAGGGAGACCCTGTCTCTACAAAATATATATATATATAAATTAGCTGGGCATAATGGCACTCACCTGTGGTTCCAGCTACTCTGGATGCTGAGGCAGGAGGATGGCTTGAGCTCAGGAGGTCGAGGCTGCAATTAGCTATCATGCCACTGGACTCCAGCCTGGGCAACAGAGCAAGACCCTGTCTCAAAAAAAAAAAAAAACCAGGCCAGGTGCTGTAGCACACCTGTAATCCCAGTACTTCGGCATCATGAGGTCAGCAGTTAGAGACCATCCTGGGCAATGTGATGAAACTCTGTCTCTACTAACAACAAAAAATTAGCTGGGTGTAGTGGCAGGCACCTGTAGTCCCAACTACTGGGGAGGCTAAGCTAGGAGAATCACTTGAACCCGGGAGGCGGAGGTTGCAGTGAGCCGAGACTGCATCACTGAATTCCGGCCTGGGCCACAGAGAGAGACTCAGTCTCAACAACAACAAAAAAAACCTTCCGGCCGGGTGCGGTGGCTCAAGCCTGTAATCCCAGCACTTTGGGAGGCCGAGGCGGGTAAATCACGAGGTCAAGAGATCGAGACCATCCTGGTCAACATGGTGAAACCCCATCTCTACTAAAAATACAAAAATTAGCTGGGCATGGTGGCGCGTGCCTGTAATCCCAGCTACTCGGGAGGCTGAGGCAGGAGAATTGCCTGAACCCAGGAGGCGGAGGCTGCGGTGAGCCGAGATCGTGCCGTTGCACTCCAGCCTGGGTAACAACAGCGAAACTCCGTCCCCCCCCCAAAAAAAAAAACTTCCAAGTACAGTCCCCTCTGCAACTTCCTTCTAGTGACTCCCATGCTAAGAGGGGAGCAGATAGAAAGACAGTTCCTGGCAGCCACAGTGGTGAAGGGGCGTACACACAGGGGGGAGCCCATCAGAGGCTCTGTCTGTCATTTGTATCTTTGTTCCCGCTGTTCCCGGAGAAGGTGAGGGGAGGCCCTGATCAGGAGAAAATCTTCCCGGGAAGATGGAACAGCGAGCGGGAGCAAAGACCTGGAGAAGGGAAACAGCATTGGTGAAGCTGAAAGATGACTAGATGTGCCCTCCCCTTCACTGAGGTCCTGGGCCACTTCCTGTGGTCAATGCCATAATCACAACTATTGGCACTGTATTTCCCAGAGCCTGAAATTCATTGAATAACTGAAGGAACTCATTTGTTCCTTGAAGCCACCCTGCAGTTTGGCTAGGTTGGACCCTGAGTTCAGTACGAGGCTGAGGACCCAGACCCACGGTAGAGCCTGGTACATACTAGATGCTCAATTAATGCTTGTTGATAAAAGAAGAAACAAAGCAAAGAACTGGAAAGGAGTTAAGAGATCAGCTAGGTCCGGTGTGGTACCTCAGGAATGGAATCCCAGCACCTTGAGAGGCCGAGGCGAGTGGATCACCTGAGGTCAGGAGTTCGAGACTAGCCTGGCCAACACTGTGAAACCCCATCTCTACTAAAGATACAAAAATGTTGAGACAGGGTGAAACCCCATCTCTACTAAAAATACAAAATACAAGTGGCACGTGGCTGTAATCCACGCTACTCGGGAGGCTGAGGCAGGAGAATTGCTTGAACCTGGGAGGCAGAGGGTGCAGTGAGCCAAGATCACGCCATCGCACTCCGGCCTGGGCAAGAAGAGCAAAATTCCGTCTCAAAAGAAAGAAAGAAAGAGATAAAGAAAGAGATCAGCTAGTCCAGGAATCAGAAATTTAAATGCCCTCACGTGAAAGCTCCCACTTTGAGCTAATTTTCTTGCTTTTTAAAATTTTTTCTTTTTCAGAAACGTGGTCTCACTCTGTCACCCTGGGTAGTGTTCAGCTGCTGGCCTCAAGAGATCCTCTTGCCTCCGTCAGGTCGACCAAAGTGCTGGGATTACAGGTGAGAGCCACCGTACCTGGCCTTGAGCTATAAATAATTAAAAACAAAAAACCCAGAGAACGTTGTGTAGGAAACAAGCCAGGGCGGTGAGTCTGACACGAGGCCACTTCTCTCACTCCTTCATCTTATCTGTGGGAAAAACTGGGGCTCGGTGCCACTAAATGATGCTTGGAAGGACTCACAGCTCCTAACTCAGAGCAGGGACCATGGCGATGATTAGCTGCTGTTTGTTAACTACTTGCTGTACACTTCGCACACATTCTCTCAATAATACGAGATGGAGTCTCGCTCTGTCGCCCAGGCTGCAGCACAATGGTGCAATCTCGGCTCACTGCAGCCTCCACCTCCCAGATTCAAGTGATTCTCCCACCTCGGCTTCCTGAGGATCTTGGACTATAGCTTCAAGTCACCACACCCGGTTAATTTTTGTATTTTTAGTAGAGACGGGGTTTCACTATGTTGGCCAGGCTGGTCTCGAACTCCTGACCTCATGATCTGCCTGCCTCAGCCTCCCAAAATGCTGGGGTTACAGGTGTGAGCCATCATGCCAGGTCTGTTTGTTTTTTTGAGACAGAGTCTGGCTTTATCACCGAGGCTGTAGTTGAGAAGCACAATCCCAGCTCAATGCAACCTCCGCCTCCCAAGTTCAAGCGATTTTCCTGTCTCAGCCTCCCAAGTAGCTGGAACTACCCAGTGCCTGCCACTGGGCCCGTTTAATTTTTGCAGTTTTAGTAGAGACGGGGTTTCGCCATGTTGACCATGCTGGTCTCCAATTCCGACCTCAGGTGATCCGCCCGCCTTAGCCTCCTAAAGTGCTGGGATTACAGGTGTGAGCCACTGTGCCTGGTCCTACCTGTTTTTTTAACCGATGAGGAGTCGAGGGTTCAGAGAGGTTAAGGGACTCACAAAGAGTCACACAGCAGTAAATGGCAGAGACGGGATTTGAACTCTCCACCCAGAGCCAACTCCCTTCAAGAGTTACACCTTTTGTATTTCTGTGCAGGAGGAAAACCGTGACCCTTCGTGAAGGGGGTAGGGGGATTGGTTCAATACAGCCAACAGCAATTGGATAGTTTCTATGAGACCCCGAGTCTTAAGTCAAATCTGTTCCCCGCGCCCCCAAATCTAGGTTTACCCAGGCTGGAGGCTAGGGTTCCCCACCCCTACTGCAAACACTCCAACCTCACCCCCTTCAACAGCAGGTGCACACAGTAGGCGCCTAATGAGCGCTTCGACGGTGGTGCTGGAGGCAGCAGCGGGGCTGGCGGAAGAGACAGTCCTGCTTTCCAGCCCTCCCTGCTCAGCTCCTCAGGGCCTGCCCAGCCCCCAGCCCCAGCCCCAGCCCCCGCCCCCGCGCACCCGGCAGCTCTCCCACCGCAATTACGGTAATTAGCTGGGAGCCTCTCGCCGGGAGGGAGGAGGCGGACTTTGGCCCAGGCTGACCTGCTTCCCGGCGGGCCCTCGGATTGGTCCGCGCCGAGCACGTGATGCACGCCGCGGACTTGTTGCTGGGCATCGCGGCGTTGCCAGGGCAACGCCTACGCGCGTTCTCTTCGCCGAGTGCCTGGAGAAGTGGCTGCGCTGAGGGTCCTCAGCGAGGGACGAGGAGGGGCGATCACGAGGGCCAGGCGAGCGCTGCCTCCCTCCCTCCCTCCTTCCCTCCCTTCCTCCGCTCCCGCTCCTAGTCCCCCGCCCCCACAGCTCAGTCGCTCCAAGCCCCCCCAAGGACATAACAAGACATACACGTGGGTGGACAGGACACTACACGGCGATCACAAACGGGGACAGGGAACACAGAGGGCAGGGCACGCTGAAGGACAGACAAACACCACAGGGGCACAGAGACCTTGCATCATCAACACACAATTGCTGAAACCCCTGCAGTCTTCAGGTCTCTGTTCAGAAGGAGATGTCACCAGACAAGACAGGAGACAGTCCCTGTCCCCCCAGCCATCATCATCATCATCCACGTCCCCTGTACCAGACAACTCCCTACGTGGGGAGCCTGAGCTAAACGCTTTATCTGCCTCTCATCTTTATTATACCCCAGAAGCAGGCGTTGTTATCATCCCCCTTTTACAGATGAGAAAACTGAGGCTCCCAACGGGAGCCAGTGGGGCAAGAACAAGCTAGGAGGCAAGGAAGGATTCCCACCCTCCAGGATTAGCTATGAAAGCCCCCATATTCTTTCACTTTATGAAATGTCCTCTAATAATAATGATCAAAACAATAGTGTGTTAGTTTTCTATTGCTGTGTAACAAATAGCCCCACATCTTTTTTGTTGTTGTAGAAACAGGGGCTCCCTCTGTCATCCAGGCTGGAGTGCAGTGGCAGGATCAGGGTCCATTCCAACCTCAGCCTCCCAATTAACTGGGACTAAAGGTGTGCACCACTATGCCCGGCTAATTTTTAAATTTTTTGTAGAAACGGGGTTTTGCCGTGTTGCCCCGGCTAGTCTCAAACCCCTGGGCTCAGCCATCCATTTTGGTCTCCTGAAGTGCTCGGATTAAAGGCATGAGCCACCTCACCTGGCCCCCCAAATCTTTTTTTTTTTTTTAAGACAGAGTTTCACTCTTGTGGCCCAGGCTGGAGTGCAATGACAAGATCTCTGCTCACTGCAACCTCCACCTCCAGGGTTCAAGAGATTCTCCTGCCTCAGCCTCTGGAGTAGCTGGATTACAGGCATGCACCACCACGCCCAACTAATTTTGTATTTTTAGTAGAGACAGGGTATCTCCATGTTGGTCAGACTGGTCTCAAACTCCCGACCTCAGATGATCTGCCCACCTCAGCCTCCCAAACTGCTGGGATTACAGGCATGAGCCACCACACCCGGCTGGCCCCTGAAATCTTTTTTTTTTTTTTGAGACGGAGTTTCGCTGTTGTTTCCCAGACTGTAGTGCAATGGCACGATCTCGGCTCACCGCAACCTCTGTCTCCTGGGTTCAAGCAATACTCCTGCCTCAGCCTCCTGAGTAGCTGGGACTACAGGCACACACCACCATGCCCAGCTAATTTTTTTTTTGTATTTTTAGTAGAGATGGGGTTTCACCATGTTGACCAGGATGGTCTCGATCTCTTGACCTCGTGATTCACCTGCCTCGGCCTCCCAAAGTGCTGGGATTATAGGCGTGAGCCACTGTGCCCAGCGTGGCCCCTGAAATCTTAATGGCTTAAAATAATCATATTAATTATCACACTGTTTCTGTGGCTTACCTGCCTCAGAACCTTTCACAGATTTTCTTCAAGGTGTTAGCCAAGGCTGGTG